AAAGAGAGAAAGAAACTAAAATGAGGAAGTGAAAGGAAGTGAGAAAAAATATTGAAGTGAAATAGGGAAAAGGAAGAAAGAAAAATTGACGGAATGAGGTAAGGAAAAAATGAGAGAAAAAATGTTGAGGTGAAATGAGGAAAAGAGAGAAAGAAAAAGAAAAAAGAAAAAAGGAGAGAGAAAGTGAGAAAAAAATGTTGAGGTGAAATAGGGAAAAGGAAGAAAAGAAAATTGTTGGAATGAGGAAGAGAATATATATATATATATATATATATATATATATATATATATATATATATATATATATATATATATATATATATATATATATATACATATATATACAGAAAAAAATAGAAGAAGAAAAAAATAGATACAAAATGAAATTTGCTGAAAGGAGAAAAGAAAATGAAGGGAAGAGAGAGAAAAAAATAAAATGAAAAAAAGAAATAAACTATAAATGAGAAGAAAGGTTGAGGAAAGAAAAATATGGAAGGGGAAAAAAGGGGGGGAATGAAAAATAAATAAGAAATAAGAAATTAAAAAAAAATACGGACGCCAAAAAAACTAAATTAATTTTTAAAGAGGTAAATAAAGTGACAAATAAGAAAAAAAAAGCGAAAAAAGAGTAAAGAAAAAAATCGAAAGGAAGAAGGAAATAAAACGAAAACAAAATTATATAAAGACAAAAGAAAAAAAGAAGAAGAAAAAACATCTAGGAAAAAAAAGCAAAACTAAAAACAGTAAGAAAGAAAGAGAGAAAAATCAAAAGACGAAAAGACACGAACGAATAAAAAAAATACATATATATGTTTATAAAAAAAGCGAAGCAATAAAAAACGTATAATCTAAAAGACCCGATTGGAAAGAGAAAAGAAAGGAAGAAAGGAAAAATAAAACACATGAGGAAAAGAAATAAAACAAAAGCAAAATCGCGAAAATAGACGTAATGAAAAAAAAAAACAGAAAACACAAAGAGAAAATAAATAAATCAATAAAATAAAAACGAGGTGACGAAAAGAAGAGAAAATAAGAAAAAATAAAAAGAAAGAGAAAAGGAGACGAAATAAAAGAAATGAAAAAGAAAGAAAGAAAGGGAGAAGAAAGAAAATTAAATAAAAAAAGAGGAAAAAAACAATAGAGCAAAAAGAAAAAGAAAAAAACACGAAAGAAAAGAGAAAAGAGGAGATGGAAGAACGGGGAAAAGGGAAGCAAGAAAAAATAAAATAAAATGGGAAAAAGAAAAAGGGAGACGGAAGAAGAGAAAATAAAAAAAAGGAAAAAAAGAACAGAAAAAAAGAAAAAAAAGGGAAAGAATAAAATAAAATTGAAAAGATTAACCAAAAAGAAAAGAAAAAAAAAAAAAGAAAAAAGAAAAGAAAACGTTAAGCGAAAATACAATAGAAAAAAAAAACAAAATGATCAAAACAAAAGCAGGAAACAAAAGAACAGGCTAAACATTTAAAAAAAAAGGAAAAAAAAATATCCCCAGGCGCTCCTTCAGCAAGTACGACCGCCAGAGGGATCATTTGGTTTGTGTTGGTGTTTGTTTGTTGAGCTTTGGACTCCCTCCCCTCCCCCCTCCCCCCCTCCTCTTCCCCTCTCCCCTCTCCCCTTCACCCCTCACCCTCTCCCCCTCTTCTCCTCTCTCCTCTCCCTTCTCCCCATCTCTTCCTCCCTCTCCTTCCTCTCTACCTCCCCCTCTCTTCCTTCTTCCCTCTACCCCCTCTCCCCATCTCTCCCTCCCCCTCTCTTCCTTCTTCCCTCCCCCCCCCTCTCCCCATCTCTCCCTCCCCTTTCCCTCTTCCCCTTCTTCCCTCCCCCTTCCCACTCAACCTCACCCCCTCTTCCCCTCCTCCACCCTCTCCTCTCTTCCCCCTCTCCCCCCTTAACCCTCTCTTCCCCCTCTTACCCCCCCACCTTCACCCCCTCTTCCCTCCACCCTCTCCTCTCTTCCCCCTCTCCCCCCTTAACCCTCTCTTCCCCCTCTTACCCCCCCACCTTCACCCCCTCTTCCCTCCCCCACCCTCTCCTCCCTCTCCCCCCCTCCAACCCTCTCCCCCACCCCCACCCTCCTCCTCCTCTCCTCTCTTCCCTCTCTCCCCCCTTAACCCTCTCTTCCCCCCCTCACCCCCCTACCCTCACCCCTCACCCCCCCTACCCTCACCCCCTCTTCCCTCTCCCCCCCACCCTCCAACCCTCTCCCCCCCCCCTCCTCCTCCTCCCTCCTTGGCAACGCGCTCTGTTGACCACCAATATCTCACCCCGGCGTCTCCCTGGGCTCAGCTTCTGTCCGTGTGTCTCAGGGCGTCGGGACTCCGGGTCTTGGGGCTCCTTGGCTCCGCCGCTTCGTCGCCGTCGGGGTCCTGAAGGGGGAAGGTGGGGGGGGGGGGGGGAGGTGGAGGGAGAGGGGGAAAGGTGGGGAGAGGGGGAGGGGATGGAAGGGGATGAGGGGGAAGGTGGGGAGGGAGAGGGGAAAGGTGGGGAGAGGGAGGGAGGGAGAGGGGAGGGTTGGGTTCCTGAAGGGGGAAGGTGGGGGGGGAGGGGAAGGTGGAGGGAGAGGGGGAAAGGTGGGGAGAGGGGGAGGGGTTGGAAGGGGATGAGGGAGAAGGTGGGGAGGGAGAGGGAGGGAGAGGGGGGGTCCTGAAGGGGGAAGGTGGGGGGGGAAGGTGGAGGGAGAGGGGGAAAGGTGGGGAGAGGGAGAGGGGTTGGAAGGGGATGAGGGAGAAGGTGGGGAGGGAGAGGGGAAAGGTGGGGAGAGGGAGGGAGGGAGAGGGGGGGTCCTGAAGGGGGAAGGTGGGGGGGGAAGGTGGAGGGAGAGGGGGAAAGGTGGGGAGAGGGAGAGGGGTTGGAAGGGGATGAGGGAGAAGGTGGGGAGGGAGAGGGGAAAGGTGGGGAGAGGGAGGGAGGGAGAGGTGGGGGTCCTGAAGGGAGAAGGTGGGGGGAGGGGGAAAGTGGAGATGAGGGGGAGAGGGAAGGTGGGGAGAGGGGAAGGGATGGGGTTGAAAGGGGATGAGGGAGGGAGAGGGGGAGGGGTTGGAAGGGGATGAGCGGAAAGGTGGGGAAGATAGGGAGAGGGGGAGGGATGGGGTTGGAATGGGAGAGGGGAGGGGGGGAGGGATAGGGTTGGAATAGGAGAAAGGAAGGGGGAGAAGGGTTGGAAGGGGAGAGGGAGAGGTTGGAAAGGAAGAGGGGTTGGAAGGGGAGAGGAAGAGGGGAGAAGAATTGGAAGGGGAGGTGGTGGGGGAAGGGGATGGGGCGGGGGGAAGGGGAGGGCGTAGGTGGATAAGTATAACAGAGGTGTGGGTATGTAAAAGTCTATCTGTGTTCTATGTGTATCTGTTTCTTAAGCTGTTTATTTGTTTTATTTGTCTGTTCGTTTTATCTATCTGGTGATCCCGTAAACTGTCTATCTATCTTGTCCATTTCGTTATTAATATATTTACCTACATACCTATCTATCTATCCATATATCTGCTTATCTCGCTATCTATCTATCTATATGTCTGCTTATCTCGCTATCTATCTATCTATCTATCTATCTATCTATCTCGTTATCTACTTAAATGTACACATGAGTTTGTTTATTTGTTTTTTCTCACAGTAACTAAGCCTTTATCCTCGGGTCTTCATTACCCCTTGCAATTGCAGCGTTTGATATCCTCCAACTGAGTCATTTGAAACGAATAACCCTGACAAATAGATAATCTTAATAAACGCTCTTATCTACTTTTGAAATCTGAATACCTAATGACCATAGTAATATACAGTATAAAGACCTTTCCATATTATGTATTCAAGTAAATCTATGTGCTTTTATAGTCCATGCATTTATATTCATGCGTACAAGTGTATGTACATAAGAAACTCCCATTAAAACTCACACAAAGAAATAAAAACGACAAAAAAAAAGAATAAATAAAATCGTTTCTCTGTCGTAATACAAGGTCGCACAGTCTTTACCTTAATATTCCCTCAAGGAATACTTTCCGCTGAAAAAAGAAAAGAAAAGAAAAGAAAAAAAAGGAAAAAAAAACATATATAATTCCCGAGCTAAAATATATGTTACATTTCTTATCACGGCATCAAATGAAGATCGAAATGCGTGGTTTTTAATACGTATCCAAAACATAAATCTTAGCTCGAGGGATACTCACACACACACAGAGCGCATTAGTCGTAATTTCCAAGAATCCGACATGCAGCATTACGGACGAAGGAGTGGTGACATGCCTTCGAACATTCGCGAAATCTTGTTTCTCTCCGCATTTCATTTTTTCGCGCTTGTACGGTTCCTGTGTCTCACTACATGTTATTTCTTATAGCACGGCTAATGACATTCCTCTCGGGATTCTTATGTGCCATAAAGGGGTGAAGTGAAGTGAGCAAAGGTTTGGCGGGGCTACAGGCACGGGGGGGGGGGGGGGGTTGGTGCAGGTTGTGAATCATCCTTATGGCCAGCGGACGTAAGGCTGGCAGTCCCTCGTCAGCAGCACGCGGTAGCTCATCTGATACAAAGCCTCGGAGTCTTATACACCACTTGAGGGATAAAGGGCCACTTAAGGGCGTCTTTTGCTGATCTCCCAGAGTCATGGGCGGAGGCGTGGCCGGCCGTTCTGACCGGTTCACTTCCCCCCCGCGATGCTTGCCTCCCTCGCGAATCTCCGGTGATATCTCCCGCCTCGCCATCTCATCTCGTCTCGATTCCCCCTTGACAATGGCCATTAGCAGGGGGAGCGCTAAACATAGAGGCTAAATTACGCCTCGTCTCCCAGGATTTACGACCATAATGCGCTGCGTGGCGCGGGCGGCGGAGCACGATAGCTGTCAGCTGTGATGGGCGCGGGGCGGCTGACGAGAGGAGAAAAACCATTATCTCTTCAGAAATTCAGAGGAGGCGGAGGTGTCACTAAGGACGCGCCGGGGAAACGCCAAACGATGACGCGAACTCCGATAATACACACGAGACGCTATCCAACGTGAATCACTGTTAAGGCCTTTCATGTCCCTACGACTGGGCTGAATGGGAGGGTGATGCCTGGGTATGTGGGCAGAGTGGGCATGCGGTTTCTGATGTCTGGGTATGTGGGCTGAGTGGGCATGCGATTTCTGATGTCTGGGTATGTGGGCAGAGTGGTCATGCGGTTTCTGATGCCTGGGCATGTGGGCATGCGGTTTCTGATGCCAGGGTATGTGGGCAGAGTGGGCATGCGGTTTCTGATGCCTGGGTATGTGGGCTGAGTGGGCATGCGGTTTCTGATGCCTAGGTATGTGGGCTGAGTGGGCATGCGGTTTCTGATGCCTGGGTATGTGGGCTGAGTGGGCATGCGGTTTCTGATGCCTAGGTATGTGGGCTGAGTGGGCATGCGGTTTCTGATGCCAGGGTATGTGGGCAGAGTGGGCATGCTATTTCTGATTCCTGGGTATGTGGGCTGAGTGGGCATGCGGTTTCTGATGCCTAGGTATGTGGGCTGAGTGGGCATGCGGTTTCTGATGCCAGGGTATATGGGCAGAGTGGGCATGCGATTTCTGATGCCTGGGTATGTGGGCTGAGTGGGCATGCGGTTTCTGATGCCTGGGTATGTGGGCAGAGTGGGCATGCGGTTCTGTGGGACGTTAGGTGGAGCTGTTCGGGTTTTCATCTCAAGACCTTTCGAAAAAAAAAAATCATTATCTGTATTTTCAAAATTCGTCATCACTTTTCTTTCTAATTCTAATCAAATAAAAACATATATATTAATGTCTTATCACTTTCATTTCTAAATCTAATCAAATAAAAAAAGATTTTTATCAATTCCTTATCTCTTGTAATTCTAAATCTAGTCAAAATTTCAGACAAAAAAAAATAAATAAAAAATCAAGCCTAATGCCAAAAAAATAATGGTTCTTATTCTCGGACATAAATTCTTTAGAAAGACCGCCATGGTGACTTAAGCCTTGCAATGTTGCATATCGTGCACGGGATCTTGACTGTCAGCTGATGAAGGAAGATACAGATCAGCAAATATCAACCAAAAACAAGTGGACAGTAAGTATATCTTTCTCGTATAAAAGAAAAAAAAATACATATATATATATATATATATATATATATATACATATATACATATATATACACATATATATATACACATATATATATACACATATATATATATGTGTGTGTGTGTGTGTGTGTGTGTGTGTGTGTGTGTGTGTGTGTGTGTGTGTGTATGAAGAAGAGGAAGAAGGAGAAGAAAAGAAGAAAATTCTTGAAGAAAAGGGTATTGGAAAAGGATGAGAGTGAGGAGGAGGAGGAGGAGGAAGGGAAAGAAGGAGGAGGGGAAGAAGATTATGATAATGAAGAAGAAAAAGAAGAGGAAGAAGAAAGAAAGAAGAAGAAGAGGAAAAAGGAAGATAATAAGGGAGAAAAAATGGGAGAAGAAGAAAAGGAAGTGATGGTGTTGGTGAAGGAGAAGAGACGTAGAAAAAGAAAAAGGAGAAGGAAAGGGAAAAGAAAAAGAAGATAAAGATAAAGATGAGGAACAGCAGCAGAAAACAACAAGATGATGAAGAAGAAAATAATGAAAAGGAAGAAGATAATGAAGAAGAACACGAATAACAAAATGAAGGAGAAAATGGCGAGGAAGAAGAAGAAGATGGTGAAGAAGAAGAAGGAAAACAAGATCAAGAAGAAGATAATGAAAAAGAAGAAGACAAAGATGGTGAAGAAGAAAAAGAAGGAGAAGATGGTGAAGAAGAAGAAGAGAATGGTAACGAACAGCAGCAAGGAAAGCAAGATGATGAAGAAGAAGATAATGAAATAGAAGAAGAAAAAGAAGATGGTGAAGAAGAAGAAGATAATGAAAAAGAAGAAGAAAAAGAAGAAGAACAAGAAAAATTAAAAAGAAGAAGAAGAAGAAATAGAAGATGAAGAAGAGGAAGAATCTAATAAAACAGAAGAAAAAGATAGTGCAGAAGAAAAAGATAATGAAATAGAAGAAGAAGAAGGAAATAAATGGCAGATAAGGAAAGGACTAACTAACCTTATTTTTGAGAATATAAGTGTCTTTTTTTTTCTTTCTTTCTTTTTTTTTTTTTTTTTTTTTCTTTTTGCTTTTGTTTAAGAGAAAAGATTATAATAGTAAACGGGGAATTGGAGAGGCAAATGAGGATCATAGGATAAGAAAGATGATGATGATAAGGATAATGATGATAATAATAATAGTATGTGATGATGATAATAATAGTATGTGATGATAATAATAATAGGGATGATAATGGTAATAATAGCAATAGGAATGAGGTAATGATGATAATAATTATTATAACAGTAATGTTTATGTACTAATTATACTAATAATAATGATAACTAACAATAATATCGATCAATAATAATAATAACAATAATTAGTACTTTTTACAGACAGACAGATAGAAAGAGAGTGAGATACTGACAGACAGACGGGCAGAGAGGGAGGGAGGGATGATAAGAGACAGACAGACAGACAAAGACAGACCGAGAGAGAGAAAGGGAAAGGCAGAGAGGAGGGGGGGGGTAGGGAACGAAAACGGAGATGAAAAAGAATAAAAACAAAATGGACGTGACATTTCTTTTCGACAAAGTAGAAGAAGAGGAGGAATAGGAAAAAGTGGAAGAGGAGGAGGAGGAGGAGGAGGAGGAAGAAAAGGAGGGGGAGGAAGATGAAGAGGAAGAAGAGGAAGAGGAGGAGGAGGAGGAGGAAGGGGAAGAGGGGGGGGGGAGGAGGAAGAAAAGGAGGGTGAAGAAGAGGAAGAGAAAGAAAAGGAAGAGGAGGAGGAGGAGGACGAGGACGAAGAGGTGGAGGAGGAAGAGCAGGAGGAGGAGGAGGACGAGGAGAAGGGGAAGGAGAATGAGAGGAGGAGGAAGAGAAGGAGGAGGTGGAAGAGAAGAATAAGGAGAAATAATAAGAAGAGGAAGAGGAAGATGAGGAGGAAGAGAAGAAGTAGTAGGAGGAAGAACGGGAAGTGGAGGAGGAGGAGGACGAGGAGGAGGACGAGGACGAGGAGAAGGAGGAGGAGAAAGAGAAGGAGGAGGTGGGAGAGGAGGATAATGAGAAGGAGGAGGAAAAAGAAGAGGAGGAGGAGGAGGAGGAAGAGGAAGTGAAGGAGGAGGAAGAAGAGGAGGGGGAAGAGAAAGATAAGGAGGAGGAAGAGAAGGAGGAGGAAGAAGAGGAGGAGGAAGAGAAAAATAAGAAAGAGGAAGAGGAAGAGAAAGAGAAAGAGGAGGAAGAGGAAGAGAAAGAGGAGGAAGAAGAGGAGGAAGAGGAGGAGAAGGAATAGGAGGAGAAAGAGGAGGAGGAGGAAGAAGAGCCGGAGGAGGAGGAGAAAGAGGAGGAAAATGAAGAGTAAAAGGAGGAGGAGGAGGAGAAGAAGAAAAAGGAAAAATAAAATGAGGAGGAGGAAAAGGAAGAATTTGAGGAGGAGGAGAAATCTGAACCTTAGGAGGAGGAGGAAGAGGAGGAGAAGGAGAAGGAAGAGGAAGAGGAGGAGAAGGAGAAGGAAGAGGAAGAGGAGGAGAAGGAGAAGGAAGAGGAAGAGGAGGAGAAGGAGAAGGAAGAGGAAGAGGAGGAGAAGGAGAAGGAAGAGGAAGAGGAGGAGAAGGAGAAGGAAGAGGAAGAGGAGGAGAAGGAGAAGGAAGAGGAAGAGGAGGAGAAGGAAGAGGAAGAGGAGGAGAAGGAGAAGGAAGAGGGAGAGGAGGAGAAGGAGAAGGAAGAGGGAGAGGAGGAGAAGGAGAAGGAAGAGGAAGATGAGGAGAAGGAGAAGGAAGAGGAAGAGGAGGAGAAGGAGAAGGAAGAGGGAGAGGAGGAGAAGGAGAAGGAAGAGGAAGAGGAGGAGAAGGAGAAGGAAGAGGAAGAGGAGGAGAAGGAGAAGGAAGACGAGGAGGAGGAGAAGGAGAAGGAAGACGAGAAGGAGAAGGAAGACGAGGAGGAGAAGGAGAAGTCAGATGAGGAGGAGGAGGATGAAGGAGAAGGAAGACGAGGAGAAGGAGAAGGAGAAGGAAGAGGAAGAGGAGGAGAAGGAGAAGGAAGAGGAAGAGGAGGAGAAGGAGAAGGAAGAGGAAGAGGAGGAGAAGGAGAAGGAAGAGGAAGAGGAGGAGAAGGAGAAGGAAGAGGAAGAGGAGGAGAAGGAGAAGGAAGAGGAAGAGGAGGAGAAGGAGAAGGAAGAGGAAGAGGAGGAGAAGGAGAAGGAAGAGGAAGAGGAGGAGAAGGAGAAGGAAGAGGAAGAGGAGGAGAAGGAGAAGGAAGAGGAAAAGGAAGAATAGGTGGAAGAAACAGAAGGAAATGAGGATAGCGATGATGATGGTTAGGAGTAGAAAGAGATTGAGAATGAAGAGAAGAAGAAGAAGAAATGGAAAACGAAGAATGACAAAAAGAAGGAAAAGGAGAAGAAGAAGAAGAAGTGAAAAGAGGATACAAAGAAGGGGAAGAAGGAGAGAAGAGAAGAAGAAAGAAATAAGACGATGAAGAATAAGAAGAATGAATGAATGAAATGAAAAAAATATATATACATACATATATATATATATATATATATATATATATATATATATATATATATATATATATATATATATATATATATATATATATGTAATAGAAAGGGAAGATGAAAAGAAGAAAGATGAAAAGAATGAGAAGGAGAAGGAAGAGGAGGAGGAGGAGTAAGAGATGAGGAAGGAAAATAAGGACAAGGAAGAAAAAGGAGAAGGAGAGAATAAGGAGAAGAAGAACAGCAACAAAACAGGAATAAGAAATAAAAGCATGAATAAGAACGAGAATAAGAATAAGAAAGGAAGAATAAACATAATAACAAAAAAAAAACAGGAAACCAAAAAAAATAAGATCAAGAATAAAGCACAAAAATAAAAATTTAGACGAAGGAGAAGAAGTCATGACCCCCTCACTCCCCCACCCCCCACCCCCCCCACCCCTCACCCATCCCCAAGGTAGCGAGAGAGGCATCAACACCCCCCCTCCCCTCCTTTTCCCTTCTCCCCATCCCACCCCCCCTCCCAACCCCACCACCCAAACCCCAAGGTAGTAAGAGAAACATCAACACCCCTCCCCTCCCCCCTTCCCCCCTTTCCCTCTCCCCCTTACCCACCCAACCCCCTCACCCCCCCCTAACCAACTCCCTCACCCTACCCCGCCTTGACAAGATAGGTCACGCATGCCCCGGGCGTTGACATTCCAACATACCTTTCGTTAATATGAGAAACTCCCAAATCTGCTGCAACATCGCTCTGAGCCGTTGTTTTTAAAAGCAAAAGTGCATTTGCAAGAAAAAATCCGTAAATGTATGAAAGGGTTTATACATTGCAAATGCATTATATCGTCATTATGAGTCGGATTCTCGTCGGGTCGTATCACGGTATGGCACTAAATGCTTCGGGTATGGAAGGGCAGCTTGCTGTTATTTTTGCTGTTGTTGTTGTTTTTGCTGTTGTTGTTTTTGTTGTTGTTGTTTTTGTTGTTGTTTTTTGCTGTTGTTGTTTTTGTTGTTGTTGTTTTTGCTGTTGTTGTTGTTTTTGTTGTTGTTTTTGCTGTTGTTGTTGTTTTTGTTGTTGTTTTTGCTGTTGTTGTTTTTGTTGTTGTTGTTTTTGCTGTTGTTGTTGTTTTTG